GGTCAGCGTGGGGTGTATCTGCCAGGAGGCCGAAGGCTGTAGTGCACTGGAGACGAAGGTTAGATCTAGCCTTCCTCCCCTAGTGTGGGTGGGCTCTCCGGTGTTCAGGAGGCAGATCTCGGGTGTATCTTGAAAGGTGGTGTATAGGTGTAGGCCGTCTTCATTTGTGGGGCTTGCCGAGCTTAGGAAGGGATGATGTGCGTTGAAATCCCCTCCTATGAGTGTGGCGTGGTCAGCGGCCGAAGCAAATAATTGAGTAACCTCCAGTGAGCCCCTTGGGTTCTTGTAGATGTTGTGAACAGTTAATTCCCGTTCTGGGAGGGTTACTTTGACGGCCTGTGTCTCGATGTTTTCCCCACATGGAAATTGCTGCGTGACATCGGCGGAGGGTATGCTTGACTTGACCAAGATCATACATCCTCTTGTTGACGCCTGCGTGAAATGTTTCCTGTATGTCTTGTAACCGCTGAATTTGAAACAGTGGTGTTCTTGTAGAAGTGTTTCTTGTAGCAGTATGACGTCAAGCTTGTCCTTGGCTGCTGCTTCTTGTAGGAGGTGTTTCTTGTTTTTGATGCCCTGAGCATTCCATGTTAGGATGTTCAGGGTGCTGATGTTTTCCACCACTGTTTCATCGGGGACTTCTGGTGGTCCTCGATGGAGATGTCCAAGTTCGATTCCAACTGGATCAGGTACATATCTTCGTGTTCTGTGGTTTTTGCCTTCTGGGCCGTGGTTCGGTTCAGGGGAGTTGAAACGTCCAGTTTCTTTTTGAGAGCTGTCGGTATCTTGGGTTCTCTGGTGGCCTTCTTCGGTGTAGAGTGTACCTCGGCTGTCACTAGTGTGAGGACCGGCGTGGCTTCCTCCACTGAGGTGGCTGGAGCTGTGGCGACTTGCCCGAGGACGCTCCCCATGAGTATTTGGAGCTGTGTGGGTTGGATCTTGTGGCCCAGTAGTCCGGCTAGGTTTATATACCCCTGAGTTGCCAGCGATCGCTACTCACGCAATGAAAGAAATTACAAACAATCTAAATGTTACTCATTCAAGGATGACCTTCAGTTGACAAAGGTCTGGCGAATTACTAAAGTTGATTTACACAGACTAATTCAAGATTGCGTTTGCCAGTAGAGAGTGGAATAAACGTAGTGACAACTGTGTTCGAAGGAGGGACTTACTGGGAGTGATCCTGAGTGTAAAACGGATGGGAAAAACACGTCCCTCCTGAGATTCTACAAGCGCGGTGGATTTGAATGTTATGTAGCGTAATATGAATTAAAGTGGGTTTTTAGGAATGACAATGATGTGCGCAGTACACTCTACTTACAGGAAACCACAAACCACAGCCAAGGAATTCTTCCTGAGAAGAGCCGTTAGGTCTTGGAGATTTTGAGTTTGACAGAATCTTTTCAGGAGATTAATGACTTTCTAAAATAGACAACTGACACTAACTAAACTACAAACATCCGATTCTCTGATGTTTGGGCATCAAAATAATCTAACTTGAGTAGCACTTGGAAACTCATGGCTATCCCCAAGGACGATATAAGGATATGCCATTCATACTGACAGACTTGACACTCACTTACTTGACAAGTTTTACTAACAATAAGGACAGTTGAAGCTTTCAACATCACTTACAATGGATCTTGAATGCTCCAACTGTAATCACACATATCTGAGTTGCCTCAACATGTGCAACCACAGCTGCAATTTCAAATTTTGTGTCATTACTAAGGAATAACGAAATCTCGGGTGCACGATAAGATTAAGAGAAAACGGACTCCTCAGACGGGGGACTCAAATAAAGAAAGCATATCTACATGTTTTTTGGGCTATTGACCGTAATATGAATCGTTTGATTTTACATGAACTGATGTGTACAACCGTAGTCATTACAACAGCAAGTGAAAATCGGCAGTATTGTCGCAGAGTACAAAGCTGACACGTCCGACCAGTACGGTCAGCGTTCAGAGAATGATTTGCCTCCTGATCCAATGTTTGTTGGTGAGAGACCCGGCACCGGCCACTGAGACTGGCCTTGGTCGAATGCAATGTTAACCATATTACCGAAGGCTTACGGCCATATTATTAAACAACATCTTCCCTTGAAGAATATCTTCATATCGAAAGTCGTATTTTTAAATGCGAATAACCTTTTAGTGCAGCGCACGAAAGAGTGTGGTGGCATGAAAACGAACTAATTGCACCAAACTTTGAAGAGGTAGCTATGAGCTGCTTTTCGTCACCCTCTTCATAATTATTTTGTTAGTTTTATTGAATATTTCTTGTCAATACGATTAACGTATAAAGAAACACGTATTGGTAATTTTACAAATGTTTTTTTTTACATTATTGGTTTTACGGCCCATATTATGACAGTGCAAAAGCTGTGTTCCCTGTCCTAATACGACTTTCGTAAAAGCTGTGCTGCCTGTCAATTTGTTATTGCCAAAGGCAAGCTGCTGGAGTCATCCCATCTTACTAATGCTAGTACTAATCTGGTAAGCACATTTACGGTAATTTATTAAACTTTTTAGCAGTTTTATAAGTGAGTTTCTGTCAGGAAAATATAAACTAGTGACGTTCTTGCCTAGAAATATTCCAATGGATAGAGGCAAATTTCACTGGGAGAAAATCATCCCAAAACTTTATGTTGCATATATTAATAAAGTAAGTCCATTTAAGTTACTTATTGCAACCTTTTAGCAGTTTTATAAGTGAGTTTCTATCTTGAAAATATAAACTACCGTCGTTCTTGCCTTTAAATATTAATATGGATAGAGGCAAATTTCACTGGGAGAAAATCATCTCAAAACTTTATGTTGCATATATTAATAAATTAAGTCCATTTAAGTGACTTAATGCAACTTTGTAGCAGTTTTATAAGTGAGTTTCTATCTGGAAAATATAAACGGGAGGTTTATACCTAAAAATATCAAAATGGGTAGAGGCAAATTTCACTGGGAGGGCATTATCACAAGGATGGTAATATTACATACAAAAACACCTTTTATACATTGGATCATGATATAATATGTGAAATACTGCAGGCTCTAATTTTTCATCACCAATTACATTATTTCGTTTTGGTAAACTTCCATTTGGCTGAATTAGGTGCATAATAAAACAATTTCACTGGAAGCTGGAGTTTCATTATTTAACCTTAAGCATATATGATACAATATTTTGGCTAATATAGAGGACTTCACAGCAGCTTCCCCCGTCTCAGTAATAGTAAGTTCGCCCACGGCAAGTGATAATTTATGCTAGGTTAGGTTAACTTAACTTTACTTTAACTTATAAATACTCTAACACCTTTTCCAAAATTTGCCATAAATACGACCGTCTCACTATAAAACATATTGAAATTGCGGCGTTTATAAATTTGTTTTCTCTGAAAACAAAAATTTTTAAACTAAGACAATATAATAAAGGCATATCAGCCCTTAAAGGCCATTTCCTATTATTTTATGCATTACTGTACATTATTATTATTTTTTAATTACATTGAAAACAGTGAAAATTTATATTTCCCCGGTGTTTTTAACTAACAGGTTGAATTGGCAAAAGGAAATTTTTAGAGGTGCTATGTGAAGAAAGAAGACAGAAGGAGTGCAATGCTGACATTAGAAGAAAGTCGACGATGAAGAGGTGGATTAGAAGAAGGACCAACCCACCACAACTGCTGTACTGCCGGCATCCCCTATTTTTCAGATACCAGCTGGATGGAAGACGTGAGCTGTGCTGGACCCCACTAATGTACTGATGTGGTTGATGTTGTTGATGTACAATAAAAAGATATGATACCCTAACATGTGAAGCAGGAACATTGTTTGTGTATTTTGAAGTATTTTCTCTGATTTTTGTTGATGTTTACTACAAAGAATGCAAGAGTATTACACTAACTTCGGTTTCCTGTATGACTTGGAGAACTTCGAGATATGAAAGAAGACTACATCATGAAAGAGCGATGTATAGCTTTGGATAATTCATTGAGTGTTGGAAATTCTCACTATATTGATTGTGCAGACCTGTTCTCAGAGCTTCGAGTACTCCAAGAACTTATTCCTCAAGAAACAAACAGTGCACTTCAAGTCCTTCAGATTCTCAAGTCTCTAAATGGTTCCTTCCCTAAGGCAGAAATAGCATATCGGATTTTATTGACAGTTCCAGTCACAGTGGCATCAGGGGAGCGGAGTTTTTCCAAGCTGAAATTAATAAAAAAATATCTAAGAACAACTATGTCTCAAGAGAGATTGAATGCATTGGCTATGCTCTTCATCGAAAAGGAACTAGCAGAAAGTTTGGAATATCAAGATTTAATAGCAGTGAACATAATGTATAGTACCCCGATATAATAATGATATTAACGTGTCCATGTCAATGAGTGAATTAATAAATAGTTGTATCGAAGAGGTGTTTAACAAGTTGTCCCTTTAAGAACGTAATATATGTGTATTGACATACGAGATAAGATAAGCGTATTGACGCTGAGTAAATAACATCACGGCCACGCTACCCAACTCCCTGTCTTTACATCCTCCTTCTATAAATATTCTACCTATATGCAATATCCTCTTCTGGTGAGTTTTGTCTCATTATACTAGTCCATATCCCTCAGCATTTAAACATGTTGCAATTAGTAACCATGCTTGTTTCTTTAACGTAACAAGCTTCCCACAAGTACTTTTATTTTGCAAAATTTTCTCCTCTCCAATCAAATAAACTAAGAAATCCCGGGAAATTTTGGAGGTAAAAATATCCATGACGAGAGCTGCTACAATACTAAATTTGGCGCCAACGAAGGTAAAACAAACACACACAGGACCCATAATGCATCAGCGAAGGAGACAGTATTACCAGACCTAAAAAAATCATCCCGCAGGAAGTGGAAGAGGTTCGAGCATTTAAAAATACCGCTTAATGGAACAATACCTTCGAAAAGATTCTTCGTTGGAAGGGGTAGATGTTGTTTAATAATAATATAGCCAGACCACAATATACACACAAATTCAAACACATTAGCTCCTCTGCACATCGACATATAATATACACACACACACACACACACACACACACACCCACATTGCAGATCATTAAACAAGAGAATTTTAGACTGAACAACAGCATGATTTTCATGTGATCCTTTACCACCATCGATCTGCCTCTTTCACTTGGAACACTGCGGCGTTGATATTGATGATGCCACACCTAATGGTTTGTGTTAACAAGTTGAAGGACAAGTTCCTCGTTAACCTGATTAACATATCTTGATCTAAACTAGATTAATCTAATTTAAATAATGCATAAAGTAAGTTAGCCTAACTTATCAGTAAGGATCCCAGAAGAAAATATCAAGTGAAAGTGGGTTCTCATGTTTCCAAAGGCCCTTTAGTGGCAGTGCGGATACAGCACACTGTGCTAAACTAAAAAGCCTCGGTACACAAAGATGCAATGTGGCCAGTTTCACCTCCTAAGATAAAGTTAGATACCGTTTCTTATTTGGGTCGACTGGGATGTCCCGGATGCAAACCAATGACCTTTAGGAGAGGAGGCGATGTCTTATCCAGTCAGTCGCCGCAACCCTTTAACGTAACCTAACCTAACCCATGTTGTTTTATAGGATATAAGATGGAAGAGACGACGTTCTCAACAATGACAGCTGCAGCCACACCTCAGACAACAGCAGAAGATATATACGGTAGTAACCTGCTGGGTCTCACAGGTGCCTGCGTCTTCATCATCGCCATCGTCGGTGCAGTTGGTAAGTCGTGTGAAGCGTCATCGTTGGTATACTTGGTAAGTAAACAAAAAAGCATATGTACCCCGTGGGCTGGTGAAATCGAAAATGAGCAATAACACTAGAAGTACTGATGTATCAGATAGGTTGGTTTACCTCTGATGTTAGTACAATGTTTTGTGATAAAAGTTTGTGTTAATTGTATCTCTAGCTTTATCTTCTCTTGTTTCTGCTCTCTGTCTCGTTGGTTTAAATCAAAATGGCGCTGCTTTTCTAATTATCTTATCCTAAAAATTTCACGTTGTTGCTCATGCTCAAGTTATTTAAGTTTAATCTGATATTCCTAAGTTGTCATTGAATCACTGGACTTTCTATCAATATCTGTGTCTCCTGAGTCTCCAAGAAACTCAGTTCTGGTTGCCACTGCACCGATATTTTCTGGAGAACCTAAAAACTGGTACATTTAAGCCTAAGTTCCTTATGTCCTGTTTACTATCAGAACTTTTGAACTCTACACCTTACTGATATGCTAAAATGCTCTACTGATCTTTAGTTATGTGCATACCCTGAAATTTGTTTGCAGATGGGTCTGCTATGAATGACTTAACAGCAAAATTCTCCGTATTAATGAATAATGAGATGAAAGGAAAACAAATCTAAGGCTCTGGCAAATTTTGAAAAGCTCAAAATGAATCAATTCTTCCTGTAACCTACACTGAGTTCATACAAGATACCATGTAATAAGAAATAACTGATACCGAAAACTTTACAACGTTTCCAGCATGAAATAAGTTTGGACTTGTTCAGCCTCAAACACAAACTTAGTTATCACTACAATGCTAAACTACCCATTTATATATCAAAATTTAATGAAATATAAAAACAATCTGGCCTCCAGAGTGAAAAGAAAAATTTTGGCTGAGATTAAATCACTTATGTGGGGGTAATTAAGCATATCATAATTTTCTTAAACTATATTTAATATTTAGATTTATAAAAATAAACACGCCAATAAGAAGTTACACAAAAACTTAAAGAAATCACTATACAAGAGAGAAAATGAATAATGTTATGCCGAGGCATTATTTAATATTGTAGTTTTTGTGAACTGGGTGTTCTGGTTGTTTTTTTGCTCCAAGCAGCAGTTATTTTAGCACGTTTTGGAAGATTCCCTTGTATATTTTGATGTATAAACTATGTAAGAATCTTTGAGAATGTATTGCATCATTTTTTATTTGATTTACTTACGTATTGTCAGTCTTGATCATTCTAGAACTTTCCGGGTGTATCTCGTTCCCACCTGCAATGCCTAGATGGCGCTAGAATGCTCTAGGCGTCTGAAGAGAGGTAGAAAAGCATCAGCGAGCTGCCTATGGAAGCAGTTGCCCGTTTCTGCTCAGTGTGAAGTACAGTTATGGATAATTGCTGTTTAAGTATTGTGGAATTGTTGTGAGTGATGTAAAGTGAAAAGACTAAAGAATTGTACACTGGTAGTGTGCTGATTGTATATATTTGAAGTGAGAAGTTCAGCAATGAGGACATACTCTGTGAACAGCTTTGTGAAGCCTTAGTGATTATTAAAGTGGACTACAGCTCCCAAGTGTTTTTCTGTGACATGATGGAAAACTATCTGCCTGTTGTTTGTCTGTACACTGACACCGATCGTCGGGAAATTACCGAAGACTGGCGAGACAGCTAGTGGCATTTCGATAACACTTGTGATATACGACCTGGCCGCTGGTAACCAGCGATGGAAGCTGGTAAGCGGTGAAAGGGGTTCGTAACACTGGTGTCAGAAGTGGGATAGCCTAGCAGTGAGATATTAGTCAAGAACATAAGTCAGGCCAGGCAAGGGTGAGATTTCCATGGCTGATGTGATGTAATTCTTACACGCACAAAGAGAAGAACAGAAACAACTACTGCAAGAAGAAGAAGAAGAGCAGAAACATGAAAATATGCCTCTGCAAGTGAAAATTCATGAACAACTGCAGAAACAGAGAGAACAGAAGCAACAACTACAGCAGCTACAGGAAGAGATAGACAAAAAATTCATGAACCGGATGAGGCTTTGCAAATGATGTGTAACAGATGAGATGACGCGTTGAATGAGGAAGCTGGTGAAAAATTGAAGCAACATAAACAAAAACTGAGTGGTGAGATCACCAAGCTACGTACAGTCTCTGTCAAAAGTCCTGTGCCAGGCAGTTTTGTCTAACCTGGTTATGTGGCACTGTCGGACTCCCACCAAGAACATGCAAGGTGGAACTACCGGGACTATAGTTTAAGCGTCGCTCTGTGGCTTAAAGGGCATGTTTCATGTCTAGATTGCCACGTTGACAGCAATGTCAGGAGCAAACCAATGAATACCATTAATAGTGGCCTAAATTGAATGACGAGAACCAAAGTATTTGTGAGCACAGACGAAATGCCTCCTCGCACACACGCCGCACTAAACCATCTGCTAAACACCTTGACCGTGTGAACAATCCATTCTATGGCGTGTCTATGTGCACATCCTCTTTGAACTACACCATGTATCGATAATATGAGTGTTCTTATGTGAGTGTCAGGAGGACAGGTATAATAAACCTACATAAAGAGATACTTAAGTTCAAGTCATAGTTTCTGAGAGGAGGGTTAATGATGGTTCCAGACAGAAAGGCAGCAGGAGTGAGGTCCTCAAGTTAATTTTTCCTCTCGTTCCTCTTATCATCAGTGTCACATTTCATTGACAATCTTACTACCATTTTTATTATAATCAAGTGCCACACTTGTGATATTAACTTTGCACATTACAGAAAACACTGGTGGACAGTGCGGGCACACACACACATGTTTAAGCGTGGTTTGTTCGGGGGTGTGCTTCACATTCCAAGTAGTAAAATTGGTTTGAGTAAACTATGTTATATCATTCTTAAGTTGAGTTAAGTATTAAATATTTCGCGAATTAAAAGTGTTTCACATGAGGATAGGAAGAAAACATGTTACCTCGACAGAAAAAAATATATATCTATATATTTATAACACAAACAGAAGGAAAAAATATATGCAGCCCAGCATGTTTACGGTCACGAGGCCGCACCTGCCGTTCATAACGGGTGTTATCAAGTCTCCTGGAATGAACACAGCCGTGATTGCCCAAAAGTCCAGGTTCTACCCACATAATGATCTGTGAACGGTAGTCTCCCAACACTGTTTTTCTTCGAATCTTTCCATGACAGCAGGTGGATCCCAATTCCACGGATTCGTCGCCTAACTGTCCTAGCCGAGACCTCAAAGTGCAGCTGCTCCATCGTGGCCGTGGTGGCCATGATGGAGCAGCTGCACTTTGAGGTGAAAGAATGGTCGCAAATGTCTGCCACAATCCTAGTGTCGTTTTCTGCTCTGGTTAGTCTTGGCCGTCCTAATCTGGGAAAATCTGTTAAATTACGACTTTTCAAACTGCATTGTCGATCTCGAGACTCCCAACTGGCTTGCGACTCAGCGTTACGCTTGCCGACGAATTGCCCTCTGGGAGATATCATGGTATTGGTGTCCCATGGTTGCAGTTGGTGGAATGACCGAACGGTTGCTGTATGACCACATCATAACTTCGGATAAGTTAAAGGTTCTGGTGAATGGTTTAATTGTCCCTGTGGTGTAATTGTCAGCATGCGGAGCCGGGTTCGATACTCGAGCAGGGTGAAACTTGGGCAAGTTTCTCTACACCATTTGTCGCTGTCTACCCAGCAGTAATGGTTAGTTAGTGCAGTTGGAAATTCGCCAACTCAGGGTCTGATTGTTGTGTTGGCGACAGCTTCTACAATCTACACCTTAAACAAATTCACGCCTAGGTGACCCTTGGGTCGGCCATCCTTGTTACACAAGGGACAACCATTATTATTAATTGTCCCTAGAATCGTCATTTCCATATTACAATAAACTATGGTGTGCAATGAGACTGGCGTCATTAATAACTTCAATAAAAGCAACAGGAGAGGGATAATGTACCCATTACCACCAGTCTCCATTATGAACCTCTCTATTATGAATATGGTGTTTTATATAATATCTGTCCTCGAGGCATTCACATAAGAGAAATATTATTACCGATAAGTGGTGTAGTTCAAATTGGAGGAGCACATAGACAAGCTCTAAAATGGATTGTTTCCATAATTCAGGTGTCTATCAGATACAATGTGTGTTCGGATTTTTGAAGTGTGTTTGTAACATGTAAGTAATTTATTTCTCCTAAGACATAACATTTTATATTCCAATGAGCATACTTATGTAATATGACATGAAACAGTAAGAATTCACCGCAAACGATTCATGTCCTTTCTTTATGCAAGGCAGCACGGTTGTTTTACATGGATACAAGTGTTAAATTAAAAATCGAAAGTATGATGAGGTAGACATGAGTCATCAAGGCACTGGGTTTTGCTACTGACTGACAGTAGCCAATATCACTGATAATGTTATGTTAAAAGGAATACCATTAATCATCGATAAATTGTGTAGTTCATAGAGGATATGCACATAGAGACGCCATATAATGGATTGTTCACAGAATCGGGTTTCTGGCACACGCTATGTGAGTTCGTGCGTGCGTAACTCCGACGGTGCCACATAACCGATCCAGCCAAAACTGCCTGGCACAGGACTTTTGGTTGGTACTGTACATGAATAACTAAAGAAAGCCAGTAGTAGTAGGATAGAAGTGATGGAGAATTGTCTAAGAGCGGGGATATCAGCCAAGATCTAGTATTCCTATAATTGTGATAGTGTGCGTGAAACATCGTTTTTACACGCTTAGAGGAGAGTGAATAGTGCTGAAAATTATGGAAAATACGATAAGGGTGTAGAAAAAGGAAGTGTTGAGTTGAATTACAGAGCACCTGAGTTCAGACCACGAGCTACGTCAGATGAAGTGGTGAGCTATCCAAAAGACCCAATAAAGAAGAAACCACAGGAATTCAATGGCAAGGTCTCATGGGGTGCATACCAACCCCAAGTTCGTGACAAACTTATTACGTTATTGTTAG